CCTCCTACGTCAAGCTCTTCGCGGGTTAACGACTGCCGGTCGTCGCTGCGAACTCGTTCTCTCAGTGTTGTTTGAAAACCGTTTCGTACGGTACCGAAGTTTTTTCTCATTAGTCTCGTCTCATTCTCTTTCGCTTTTTTTTTTTTGTTCAAGTAGAAAAGTGTACACCAATATCCGCGCAAATACTGTTGCAATTCTAGCGTTGTTTTCGAGATTATTGACTACTATTTTTATGAAGATTAAACAGCATCTTTTTATTATAATATCTTGTCGATTCTAATTGAACACGACTTCCTCTGACTCTATCGTAACGCAATATCTCTCGACCATATAATTGACACAACGTAATTGTTACGTTTAATTAAGTTACCAATAAATTCTCCCGGTTAATCTATAAATAATGCGTGTTTAATATTAATCCCGCCTTCAATAAGAATCAACAACGTTATTAAATGTAAGAGTAATGCTTTCGCGATCCTCTCTTTCTCTCTACCTCTTCGGCGGTCAAGTATATAAATGCGAGGCGGTGCCTATAAGCTCTCGATCGAAGCTCCGCAAAATGAATGAATTAATGGATAATGGATCGAGATAGATCGTTAAAGGAAAATCGTCGAGTGCCGGTGTGCGGTGCTGCAGTCTTACACCTATCGTCCAGAACAGGTCGTAGCTGGAATATTTATGATGGCACGAACGAGTCCGCGTACGCATGAGTTAATCTCGAAAGATGCTTCGTGTAAGATTTACCTTTCTCAAGACTCGTCGTCCTTCGAGAACTGGGATAAAGTTTTCTTACAAACTGACGCTTAAAGAATTAAGCTCCTTTCGGAGCACGATGCTAAATGCGAACCGAATGATGCATTCAACGCCTTCTACAGAGGATGGAAGGGGGATATGTATTTACGATGCCTTCGTGCAATTTCACTCCAATTCCAATAACGGCCGCACGAAATTAAGAATTAATCCGCGAAGCCACTACCGTCGTACTCGCGTGCTGGACCTTGTGTGATTTTATGTATAATGGATTTAATGAGTAACCCCAATAAGGCCGCAAAACTTCATCAATTTCTTTCCCACGTATTCTGACAAAAATGCCAAGCATCCGAGAATACAAGCGGAAGTTAAGAAAAGTGAAAAATCGCCCATACGTTGCAGCATGTTTTTTTGTAAATAATGAATTTCCGAGAAATATAAGAAGTATACTTCCCATGAGTATGCGTGTGTGCGTGTGCGTGTGTGCAGCGTATAAATAATAAATTAATCTTCGTGCAATCAGGAATGAATATCTACGCCAACGCGCGTGATAAATATTCCGCACCACTTTCTGTATGTATCCTTCCGCGTGTGAAGATCTCCCACGTAAGGTGAAACTTGAAATCTTAATACCGAGTGCCCAATGGATTAGTAAGCGCGGTTCTCACGCGTTGGGCAAGTTAGATAAATTTTTCGAACGAGCGGAGGAAAATCGGCGATTCTGATTTGCATGACGCGAATGCGTTCTTGTTTCGCGCGTGGGTCGCGAAGGCATCCGCTGCTCTCGGTAATAAGTGAAAGGAGCGATGCAATTCGTACGATCGTTTTATCCGAACGCGAAAAAAAGGACCGATTGGAGGAACGCTATGGAGTTGCAACTACGTTCATTTTAATTAAGACTTAATTAAATCTAATGAACTTGAAGAACGTAAGAGAGAGATGTATAAGGAGATATTAATTAATTAAACGGTTTTTTTTAGAGGCAACAAACTCAATAAAAACTTCTTTCAAAAAGTTATTAGAGATAATGAATAAAAGAGAGCGGAAGTGCAAGAAAGATAAAATCTTGAATGTCAAAGTTTTCAATCGAGCCCGACAAACAGTTGACATTGACGTTGAACTATTTAGGGAACGATGCGAATATCGGAACAATGGCGCGGACTCGATGTCGTCGCTAATTACTGTCGTATTTCGATTTGTATTCGGTCGTCCTTTGTAATTGCAAGCAGGTAGACTCCGCGCGAGGAACACATGGCGAGAGAGACCTCCTCCTAGCATTTCCATACAATAGCGGGGAAAAGATGGTGTTTATTGCGAGATATCCGGTGATGGCCTCCGACTGATAACGAGGCCAGGATGAAAGATGTTGAAAGACACGTTCGTACGTCCACGAGAGAGAATCGCGTCTAGATCAGATTTTCGCGACAAGAGTGCGTCACTATATTACGTCTCCTTTGTAAATACAAAAGACTAAATGTTGAAACTAAACGTTATTACGGCACAAATGTAACACAGACAAAGATAAACTTCAATGAAAATCTGTTCGCCGAGAAATAACTCGAACATCAGTGCAACCGAGAAGCGCATCAAATTTAGATAAAAAGTCTCATAGTTTCGTAATAAGCGCGAAAGTACACGGTTTATCCAAATTTTTTCCCCTTAATCGATGTTTCCTCCGCCGTTTCTTGTCGACGAGAATGCGTGAGGGTATATTTACGGAAAGCTGAAATTTTCATCGGCGGCGGCCGAGCGGATGGGGTCACGCATGGTCGCTCAGCCTGAACAGTCCACCGGCTGAATACTCTATCGTGACGTCACTCGCTACGGTCACTGCCTGAATTATTCACTATTCCTTCGTTTCTAGTCGTTTCAGCGATGCCGCGTGCAATCTCGTACGAAAGTTTGTTTTTACGCACGCGGTGCGCATTCTGGTGGAGCGCGTTTTATCTACTCGCACGCGGTAGAGCCGAAATCTAAGGCGGTTCGCGATAAATTACATAAAATTGCGCCACAATTTTTCCATTCATCGTCCCCCTTTTCATTGCGAAATCTTCAAAATTCAGGATGTCTTTGGGATGACTTCTCGTTAAATTGATTAAAAATACGGGACATAGTATTGCGTGTCACAGCGCCGCAGCACTATCGTGAGCTTCCAAAGCGAACATTCCAGGATGTAATCAATGGCGATCCTTGTAACGAGCTATCCTCGAAGGACGGCCGTAGCCATCCGTTAATAATTACAACGATCCACCCCGATGCTCGGCCGCGGTGCCGCGATAGCTATCGAAATTAGATAGAAAATTGCCTTCGTCCTATTCGACTTTAGCCGGCGGTTTCATTAAATTCTTTGAGAGATGCGGAATCGATAGATTCCGCTGGATGTTATCGCACGGTATCTCATTGCGTGCGGCCAACAACTGCCGTGCACGGTATATCGATTAAGCGTGGAAAAAGAAGGTAGGAACGCGCGAGGGATGAAATGATAGGATCCCGGGGATTAAGAGCGGAATTTTTTCGCGGCGTCACGAGAGACGAGATATAATTTCGTTTAGACGCACGTGGAAAATGTGGAAAATGAAGCGTGTGCTTTATTTAAAATCGTAACGATCAGCTCCGACTTCCCCTCTTCGTGACCTTTTCTCAATACCTCGGTTCTGATTTATGGATCGCTCGCCATCGTTCTCTTGGAAACTCAACAACATTATTCGCCGGCCAATATCCCACGCCAGGATGGAGAATATCCAGTCTCTCTCGGTTAAGGTTGCATAATAATCTATGCGGCGAAGGTAATGAATCGCCGCTTCGTCGGATATTAATAGCCGTCGCTGCTCCTTTCGCGTGAATTTTTTCGTTTTGCCATCGTTATTTTTGTCGCTAGTTTGGCGATCCTTGACCAAGAGTCATGTGCTACAGGAGGATAATTAATCGCTTATAAAAGATAATTAATCAGCGCAATGATATTTTAACGACAAAAATCGGTTTATTAATTATCGCGCCTGACATGAAATATTGTTTAAATGGGAATTCTCCATTCTCGAAACTGCCGGATTAATTTGCGAATCAACACGCAAAATTATGATGAATTTTATTACGAAGAGGCAGTATTATTTCCGTAAATTAGATTACGATAAATAATGAATAATAAATAACAAGACTTATATGAAAAAATTTATAAATTAAAAGTGATTATGGATATATATAAAAAATTCGCTTTCAATCACATAAAAAAAAATGCATCTCTTTTTAAATCTGAATCTCGTTTAAAAATTCGCACAGTGCCAAACAAAAGGAGACAGTAGAAAATCGCGCGAATATACTGAAAAAAAAAAAAAAAAAACAGGAAAGTTAGTAGAAGGAGGTTTGTAGGCCTATGCCGATTACGATTGAATTTAATTAATTAATCGACGCGCGATGGGTTACCTCAAAGATCCCATTATATAGCTCGTTTAACGTAGAGTATCTTTTAAAAACGCCGCCATTAAAACGTCGGACGTGTTATTAATCGACATAAGTATTCTTCGCAATGAGCGGAATAGCGTAAAATTCGTAATAACACGCTCACACGCCAGCAACGTCCCGTGATTAATCGCGGGAAGCTATCGACGCTCGCGTTTTCTGCGTTTTGTACCTCGTTCGCATCCATCCGGTGTCTCGTTCCTCGCGCGACGCACGTGGACTGCTATCTTGTACACGCGAGATTTCGCTTGTCATCGAAACATTCTTTTAAGAATCATAATTTCGGAAAAGTAGCTCTACAACTTGTCCGTGTCTCTTATCTCTGTATCTTTTTCTCCCTCAGAAACCCGTTTCTTTCGTTTCTCTACATTTACTCTTCAAGCAGATCATTATTAGCGTAGAAACGAGCGAGTTCTTACTATAATAATAAAGTAAAATGAAATGCTTGACAACGTTTAATGGGTTCATAAAATCCGTTCCGCGAATTTAGTTATACGTGGCACAAAATAAAAAAATAAAATAAAATAAAATAAAAAAAAATTATCGGAAGAAAGTCCCTGCGGAAATTTATTGCGAATTTGTTTCCACTGACTGTTGAATGTATTTTCTTTCTAAAAATGCAACATTGAAAAATTCTCCGGAAAAGTATTTCCGCCAAAAAAAAATTTGGAAAATTTCCTATAATTTCTTTTTCTTCTTTTAATCGATCAATCGTAATATAAAGCTTAAAGTATCTGCGAATCCGATCCGAGAATAAATGTAAATAACACAAATCTTTTTCTTTCTCATTGCAGCAATGCCAGTTGCTGAAAAAGGAAAACCGGAGGTTGCAGAGCGCCTTTCTGCAAAACGTCTTTCTTCAAGCGCGAGTCGACACGCTCCAATGGCAGGTCAAACAGGTTCGTAATCGTGCGAGAAGTTGAAAATCTTCAGAAGAAGAAGAAGAAGAAGAAGAAGCGACCGATAAGATGATCACAACCGGTTTACCTCGCTCCGGTTATGCGATATCGCGTCACGTAACAACCGGTCGACTACTTTTCTCCCTTGATAATCCGCGCGCGATTTTTATCGAGCCGAGACTTGTCCTATTATTTCATTATCATTTTATGAATGAACTTACGCGCACGCATTTCGCGATTTAGCCTTCTGATCATTATAAACTTTAAAACTGTCCTATCGGTCTATGGTCTTTACTGCTTCTTTTCTTTCTCTTTCAATTTTTCTTATTTCCGATTAAAGATTATTTTTACCACCACCTATCTATAATCTAAATTATAATCTAATTAAATTATTCCTCGATTGATATTAATGGACTGATGTAATAAAGTGAACGTTGACGTAAAAGTTGACGTTTCGTTTGTTCGCAGGTCGAATCGAACAGGCAAATGTATCGTTCTACGATGGAGCAGGTCGCCCATTTCTTGGGCCGAGTTCACAGGAGCCTGGAGATCCTTCACTCCAAGGAAAATTCCAAGGATAAGAGACGCGTACCGCGTAGTCGCAGCGTGCACACGGTGGTGCACGCGGATCCGTCACCGAACCGGAGTACCGCGACGCCGTCATCCTCTTCGTCGACATCCTCGCCGTTCACACGCGCCAAATCTGTCACGCAGATCAGCTCACCGAGCGCTGTCTGCTTCCGCGAGTTCACCTGGTCGGTTCTGCGGAGGAACGACCCGGTGCACTGCACATCGCCACGTGCCAAGCCACCGCAGGATCTCAACAAGACGAACGACCCCGTTCCCGATAATGTCGTTTATCGCGAACCCAAGCAGACGGAAATGAATCCGGACGAGATACCGCCGGAAAAGCTGTCTCAAGAGGCGTTTAGGTGCGTGTGAAAAATTTCAAAAGAATCCCGCATTGTTCGCAAATTAAATTATTAATTTATCGTTTGTCATTTTCATTATTAAATATTTAAATTATTAATTTATTGATATCGTTATTTTTTTCTTATTGAAACAATATCAATATTAATATATTAAATGTGAAAAATATATGTTTTCGCACAGGTTACTGAGAACTGTCGAATCCTTGTTGGCGATGCGAGAGCCCGATCTCGCGCGAGTGACGCCGATCGAGGACAACGGATCCTCCCCGTCCCCGACAGTGGACCATCGTCATCACGATACATCTCTATCCCTACCGAGCGGTAACTTTGCCAATTCGACGATGCTGCAGGAGGCTGCCTATATTCCCGACAGCGGACATGGAAACGAATCGATCAGCAGCGGTCAGCAGGACGACAGCAGATCGACAAGCCTTATCAAACCTTCCGTCACCGAGTTCACTCGATCCTTCGTACCGGGCGTGAGAAGATCACCCGACACCGCCTCCTGGAACTCAAGTAGCAGTAAAACGACCGAGGAGGAGGACACCGTCGCGCTTATCACACCGTCTAACGGAATTACGTCAAATAGCACGCCAACCTCGACTCTCACTCGAACCGCGAAGCGGCTAGAGAAGAAGGAATCTAATCAGGGTAATTCTAATCCTGGCAAGACTAAGGTAAAGCCGGCCAGCAGTCCGGTGAGCAGCGCCGAGGGCGAGAGCGGATTCTTCTCGATCAGCTCCTTCCAGGAAGTCGGTCTGCCGCCTTCAACGGCCGCGCCGATCACGCCCGTTAAGGGCTGCCACACGGAAGTAGGCTTGCCGGAAGTGCCTCTCGACAAGGCCAGGCACCGACGGTGGTCCTCCACACCGGCTGAAATCCAGGCGCTCTTCAAGCAGCATCGGGCGAGCTTCGGCGGGACGCCGCAAACCGCTACCGAATCCGTCAGCGTCTGCTGGGTTTGAGTCCTGCGGAATATGATCGCGCCGAATACGATCCCACCGCATACGATCGTCATGGTCTCCGCGGAATTCCGCAGACTAGATTCGCTCGAAATCACGAGCCAGACTTACATGATCGATTTTCAGGAATAATATTTAGATAGATCGATAGGGAATATTCAAGTATAAGCAATAAGATTGTAAATACTTCCTACTCGCAGTCGTGCGGTCTCTTTTCTTATGTTAATGAGATATGAAATAGAATCATATTAGCGTTGATATAGCAATCTATAGTAGCTGCGATTCGTTTGATAGAGAAAATGAATCGAAAATACATGAAACATATGTTTCATCGCTATGCGGAACGATACCGATGCATGTATGTAATTTGTTTATAATGTTCTCGAGATGTGATTATGTATCTCGAAGTATTAATTAATGTATGGAAAATTAAGAATTTATACAATATGCCTGCGTAATCGAATTTCGTAGATAATGCGGGGGCCATTCTATAAGTATAGAAAAGAAGAATACTGTACTTTTGATATTTTGTAATCAGCCATATCTCTCATAGTTTCGTGGATTCCGTGCATATCAATATCGATGAAACTTTGCGCGTCTATCGATGACTTATGTAGTTTCGTTCGTTTGGAAATTTAGAGGCGATTTTGAAAACCTGTTAAGTACGTTCTGCGAATGACGATCGTTCACCATTTTTGAACGTAATTGATCGTTTAATTAGTCATTATTTAATAAATTAAATCGTTATTTGATTTGCATGTGTTGATTTTATCTAATTTTCAAAAGTAACGAGAAAGTAACTTTAATAATTTATACTACTGTATTGCAAAATATAGTTTAAGTTAATATAATTTGATTTATTAAACGCGTGTATATAACACAATTTAGATTTGGAAGAGAATGCGAGAAAGATACACGCGCAAAAGAGAATCTTTTCTATTTTAATCGATAAATTGAAATCTGCCAGAAATGCTTTTTTTTGCAAGAACCTATATTTTGCATTATGTCTCTCTCTGTTATTTCATCTTTCCATCTTTTGTGCATATTAAGATATACCATGGTAAGATATTTTTAGTTTACCTACAGCTATGTTACTTAATTATCGAAATCGATTTGTTCGCATACGACAATTGTAATAATAATTGTTTAATTTATTTCACGACATTCAATTTTTGACATTCTTCGAAATTAATAAGTAAAAGCTATAACTCTCACAACTTCTCTCTCTGTGTTTACTACATAAGGCTGCGTACTGTAATTCACGAGAGGCATATCATAGGCAACATATCATTTTATGTAATGGAAATCACGCGTGATCTGAGACTATCATAGTTCTAGAATTTGTAATGCTGTTCTCCGTATATTTCTCATCGTTCGTAATTTGTCGCATTATCATTCTAATTATATAAAACAGCTGAATATCGTACCATTGCATCTTAATTCTTTTGCATTTTCCTTATCTTACTTTTGCTTTTCTACATGAATCCTTCACACTTATTATTATATTTTAACATAATTGTTTCGCGATTACTAACGCGACATGTGATTCCCTTTAAATTATACATATACCTTTTTTTGATAAAATAATGGCCTGGGGAGAACCCATTATACCTTTTCAAGAGGGAAACTAAGCGCTACAGACATCTAGTAGGGAAATGGAAAGCTGCAGATGGCAACCAGACATGCACGCATGTATCCGAACGCATTTATCATTCGATAGGAGCTTCAGTTATCTTATCTATGAAGATTTAACGCGCGTCAAGTGTCTTTAATTTATGTAAAATGATAGCTCTTATCGAGATAAGTCAATAAGACATACAAAAATGTGTTTTTTTTTCCAAATAACTGAGATGCCATGGATCGATATCTAAACATATATAATTAAATGTATCAATATACGTAATAACAAAAAAATATCTGAGTTATCTATAAGCAAGCAATTTGAGCTTTCATCAAGTAGATCGCTATAATATTTGAGATTTTTTAATATCACATTATTAAATCAATAAGATAATAACATAATTAAAGAAATTTAATCGTTATTAAACATTCGTTAAATGGATGACATTAAAAGAGAAGAACTTTCGACAAAATTTAATTAAATTTGTTCAATCTTTCATGCCATGATAAAGTGCAATATAAATAAAATGGCAGAATAATTTGATCGAAAAAGTATAACAATATTCATTCATAATTTATTCATTAACGTCGATTTGCAACAATACGTCGATTCTACCGAGCAAATCGAGTCATCTCTTTAATCTTGTGGGCCGTTTCGAACGAAATCTGAATCGGATAACCACAGATGACCCCGCAAACGCGCACTCGTAAAGATCCACTTTATCGGAGGCGGTCACAAAAATCATACCGACACGTATCTCTAATACGCCTACACAACACATTCAAGCCTTCTGCTTTCCGATGTCACACAACGCTCTATCATTAGTTTTACGAAAAATAAAAAACTTCCTTCAGTATATATACGAAAATATCTAATCGCGTCCTCCGGCGTCGATTATTTGACAAATATTGCACAAAAGGCGAACGATAAGAATGGAGACGGCAAAGGGGGAGCAAAATCTCGTCGAGAGCAAGCGATCGAACGCAATTCGGCACCGATCGACGTCGGCTTTCTGGCGCGATGCGGCGTCGCGTTGCGGCCCCGTTAATGCGGGATGCGGGATCGCGACGAGAGGAGGCGAGGCGAGAGAGCGGGGGTCGCGGCTGCGCGCGCAGTCTGATAACGCTGAGACAGGCAAGGCGAGCGTTCTCGGGTCGGGTGCTCGTTATCAGTGCGGCAGGCGTCGGCAGGCTTAAAACGGCACTCGGTCCGCTAGTCGGCCAGGAGATCGCGCCACGAGGCGAGCCACTTTTAGATTGATTTTCAAGAGCACCGCCAAGCCACGGGGCCAGCGCTCCGCGTTTATTTTAACGCGCCCAAGAGGAGCGGGTACAGGGAATCCACACTGATAGAGATAGTGCGGGAGAGCAACGTGACGGCGAGGCGAGAGGTTCGGCGACGGACGATAGGCCTCTCCTCCGCGGGCGCAAGACCGGTTCGACGCTGCTGGTACCGCCGTATATTTTTCGATCGTCGTGTCTGTCTCGGCGAGGAGACAACCAAGCGCGCACCTACAACATACGACACAGCACTCGTCGCGCGTGCCATCGCGACGAAATACGCGTACATAATCCCTGTTCTGTCCGCCTGCCCGTCTGTCTTTTTCTCCATCTCTCGGGATTTCTCCGATCGTCCCTAGTTCGTCGATTCGCTTCTCTCGACTCGCGTCCGTCCGCCTGTCTCTCGCGCCGCACTGCTCCGATCCGCTCCGTTCCGTTTCGTGCCTTCTTCTCTATCTATATATTATTCGTGCGCGGTGTGTGCCATCGGAGTGTATCCTCGCGTGTGTGCCGCGGCAATATAGGCTCCGAGGTGTGCGCTAAGTAGGCTTCGTGGCGCAGTGCGTGAAATGAGTGACAAGGACCGCTCCTCTCCCACTCTCGTCGAAAACAGTCTCAAGTCGCTGCTCGACCAGCCCAGCATATTTCCGCTGATCGGTAAGTGCTCCGAAAATTCTAAGGATCCGCGGGATAATATCGCGCATGTTACACACGCGCGTGTGTGTAACGCGATCTTTTGGCGGTGATAGTCGCCGCGTATCCAAAACGTTCTCCGTTCTCCACGCGTCTCCGGCGTTTCCTCCTCCTCGCTCTTCCCCCCCTTCCTCACCCCGGTGAACGCGATCGCGACTTTCTCCGGGCTTCAAAGGAGAACTCGCTCGCCGTTTTCATCCGCGATAATTCACGAGAAACACGCGCGCGTGCGCGCGCGCGCGTGTTAACGCCGATTCATTTCCCATTCGTAGCGCGTGCTACGCTCGTCGTTCGCCGGTAGCGCGAGAGCACGTGATTTTCGCGCTACCCGCGCGCGCTTTGCGTCGCGTCGCGCCGGTGGCTCTTTCGAAAAATACCCGTCTCTCCATTCGCTTCGAAATACGCGCTAACACGCAGCGCGGACTAGCGAGCGCATTGTGCGTAGCACGCACGTCGCAACGTTTGAATATTCGACGCGACTGCATTTGAATTTCTCGGGTACGCTACCACGTCAAGTGCTACAGGAACTCGCGCTTTTTCCTATTATCGGATCACGCGATCGCCAAGGAGGGCCAAAGTGCAAAGGGTGAGAATACGAGAGAGAGAGAGAGAGAGAGAAAGAGGGATAGACAAAGAGAGAGAGGGAGAAAAAGATAGAAGTCACGGAGAACGACGTGCGTGTGCTCGTCGTCATTGCGCCGACGCTGCTGGTCTGCCGATTAACCTCGTTTAGACCCCGTGGCGGACCACGTGACACGCTGCCCTAGCCTTACCTCGCCGCGAACGTATCCAACCTACACGCTCGATTCCGTTTCGCTTCGGCGGAGCGCGAGACGACTAATCTTACACGATATGGCTGAGAAGACCGAAGGGAAGCCATGAGATGGTGTTCTAATGTCTTCCGCGAAGGGAAACGAAAGAAGAAAAACTCAAGAGTAATCGATGACAATTCATTCTACAAAGTTATAAATCTTTAATCTTTGAAATTAGGGATTAACTCAAAATATTTTGCATTTTTTGTCTTTCGTTCCTCTCTTTCCTCTTTGATTTTTCTAACAAATGCAACAATAATTTTCTCTAATCAGGAAGAAGTAGAGGTATTTTCGAGTAAATTCTTTCGTATTTTGCATCAAAAATATTCGACTGTATCGTGACATTTATATCTTTATATATTAAAAGTAATTAAAAAGATTATTTGTTTAATTGCTTGTGATAAATATAAAATTTAAGAAGCTTAATTATAGAAAAGAAAGAATGAAAAGATGCCCAAAAATTTTTGATTTATGATTCGGAGATGTGGAATTCAATTGTGCAGAATGTGCTTCTGCCAACTTTTTGTGAACTATATTTTTTCAAAATTTAATTATCGTGCTTTTTTATTTTATTTTTTTTTATTTGTTAATTCGCTGTAATAAATATACTCTTCCTCTTGTTTTTACATGGAAAAAGAGGAAAATTCGCGTAAACATTCGCGTAAATCAACGCAGAAATACATTTTGCGAAGTTATACTATAAGAAGTAACATTGTACAGTTAATTCCTCTTAATTCATCTATTTTTTCCGACTAATTACGCATGCGAATTTTCCAGGAAACAATATACCGTTTGATGTAAGTTGCAATCGGATGATGTAATTTTTGCGATGCAACTCGTTTCATTACGCGAGCGATACACGAAACTAGTTACATAGCCGAATGGGAAGTAACTCGTTACGTTGACTCAGGAAACCGTCCCCAATTCACTACCTCTCACCGAATCGTATTATTAATGCAATGCAGATTAAATAATTAGTATCAAACGTGGATGCGCGCGCGCGAGGGTGATGGCTCGAAATTTTTATCCTGGCCAGCGATATAGATACATATTACACTTTTTCATCAGGTAGATTACAAAGTCCGCTCGAATTGCTTTGTCGATTGCGCAAAATGCGATTATCTAAAGTGGTCTCCGATCTCGTTTCAAAGACAAAAATGAACGAAAACATAATGCTATTTTTTATTTTTTTTTCACAATCAACGCGTTACACAGAAGCCGATTAATATGTATTGATTTGTTAAATTGTATTAATTTTTTATCTCGATCATTACTTTTTATATCACTTGAAAAATATATATTTGTTAAATTGTATTAATTTGTTATCTCGATCATTACTTTTTATATCACTTGAAAAATATATGCTAAACTTTCGGCGCAAAAATAAACTTTCGTCGCTAGAATAATTCGGCCTCGAATTCAATTGGCACTCTGTTCGCTGCTCAAGTTTGGGGGAAAAATATATCCTCGTCGTTGTCGCGATATCTTCTTGATAAAAGATACTATGTAGCTGCAAACATACATGTGATATATCACGACAGAAAGTAACGCTTCGCATTACTCTCTGATATTGCAGCGTCGTAAGAATTAAATCCTTTATGTTTATCCACACGCAGATGGTTCGTTTCTATTTATTTACGGTATTACGCTAACGCGGCGTTAAGTTTTTATAACTGCTTATATTGCGATAGTGAATATCGCAGCATAATAATGCAATGGTTTTTTTTTTTAGCATATCCTACCACATTATTTTTTTTCTTTTTTTTGCGTCACACGAGCATCTCACATTGATATTTTGATCCACGGACAATTTATCCACTCTTATCATTATATATATATACATAGTCTATGAATATAATAATAAAAAATCGATCGTATATATATATAATCCAAAAATATCATACTAACGTAAATAAAATTGACCATCTTTTTTTACACGCACGCACACACACACATACAAAAAGAGAGATTGCCGACTTTATTTAGTATAACATTAAAAAAAAAAATACGTATAGATTAG